ACACCGGATGTGAGTGGCGCGGCGCGACAAAATACTATAGAACTCATAATCAGTGATGCTGTCTACACCATAGATATATATATACATACCTATAGTCCAGCGGTGGCGAACTCCGGTCCTGGAGAGCCCTGCAGAGTTCAGCTCTAACCCTAATTAAAACTCACCTGCCTGTAGCTTCCTAATAACCGTTCAGACCTTGATTAGCTTGTTCAGGTGTGTTTGATTAGGGTTGAAGCAAAACTCTGCAGGGCTGCGGCTCGCCAGGACCGACGTTCGCCACCCCTGCTATAGTCTATACTGGATGCGGTGCGGCACGACACGACAAATTCCCAACAGAAAACTGCTACTGCGTTCAATTCATGGTGTATTGACACAAATTTAAAATGATTTTCAACGGTCGCTTTGTCGCGTCCAGTGTACTAGACAGACTTTGTTGTTGCGGCGCAGACGAGAAGAAACAAAGCAACCTCGGAGTCCGATCGCAGGCCTTCCGCTCCTTGAGTTCTCTCCAGCGCTGTAAAGCTGATCCGATATTTACATGGGTCCTACTTCTTGCCTTAAGCCTTTGTTTGTTCTGCAGACGTTTTCCTCTTTTGGTTTTTTTATCCGCCATCTCTATCTTTTTTCGCTCAGCTCGGCTAATGTCCATCCTGTGCACTGAACTCTCTCTACTCCACATCATGAGTAGAGATGCCCCTTACTGCTGATTGGCTACAAGTTTGTTTTGCTATTCGGCCGGAATCAGTTTTCTAAAGCGTTTTCGAAAAAAATTAAGCCTTTAATTATTATTAGGGATGCACAATATTATCGGACTGATATCGGAATCGGCCGATAATGGCTTTAAATGTAAATATCGGCATCGGCCTGATATGAAAAATGATTGCCGATAAGAGGAATACATTAACTCACATGTGCTCAGGGTGTGCTAACGATTAGATCAGGTCAGCAGTGTGGCTCATTCTTGCAGCAAAGTTTTGTCTGAATGATGATTAGATTCACTCTTTTAGATCGCTGCATTTAATCTGTGAAAGCATGTACAGAATGACTCGTTCAGTGTATGATAGAGTAAACAGTAATAGCACGTGCAGCAGTGACAGCCTCCCCCAGGTCCTAATGCCCGTTCGGTAAGGAGTTTTAATCTGTAGGGGGCGCTGTTAGCCTACTTCTAATTAAATTAATATTAAAATACCCTACACAAATAACATTTAGACTGTGTTTCTGATTAAATAAAGCAGTAATTGATGTCATAAAATAATGAGTATGTTTTGATTTAAAGGTCGGAAGCTATAGCTTACATGAAAAAAATAACAAACATAACACTTGTAAATTAAATAATTTTATATATACTAATTTATTCATTAATGTGTAATATGTTTCATTTTTTAAACAAATCAAAGCTCTAAAAGATTTTCAGAATTTTTACAACTATTCTGCTTTAGACCATCTACAAATGTTAAATCTTAAAATAAAATGTTAGGGTTAACACTGCATCTTTCTGGGGAAAAAAATACAGCGATTGATATATAGTTTAGTTATAGTTAATTTCAAAGCTTCAATGTACTGTCAAAAAACCTTCATTATTGTTTATTTAATTCTAACAAATAAGTTGATAAAAAATAAAACCTTTTAAATAATAAAATAAAAATATTTTGCTTATAATTTCTGCACAGGAGAGACTTGGTGTTGTTTCCAAACAAAAGGAAATATATCGGTATCGGCCAAGATTAGTTGAAAATATCGGATATCGGCAAAAATCCAGTATCGTGCATCCCTAATTATTATCGGTGTTGAGAACAGTTGTGCTGTTCAATATTTTTGTGAAAAATGCTTTGATGAATAGAATGTTCAAAAGAACAGAATCTATTTGGAATAGCAGTTGTTTGTAACATTAATGTCTTTACTGTCACTTTTGATCAATATAATGCATCATTACTGAATGAATTTCTTAATGGTAGTGTATATAATGTAATGAATTTAGTGTATTGTCCTCCACAGGTTTACAGGATCTGCTCCAGGATCACTCATTCGTAGGTTCAGTCAATCCTCAGTGGACTCTAGTGCAGCACCAGACCAAACTCTACCTGCTCAATACAACCAAACTCAGGTTAGAACAACAACAATTGCTGACATCACTCCATTCTTGACCGTACTTTCTATTCCAGCGTTTTCTACTGATTTTATCAATAATGTGTCAACAAACCTACTTTTCTCTCCTGTTTTCTACAGCCAGGAGCTGTTTTATCAAATTTTGATCTATGATTTTGGTAACTTCGGGGTTCTTCGATTGTCGGTGTGTTGTTGCATTCGTTTTTTTTTTTTTAATTTTTAAAAAATAAACTATAACTATATGTGACCCTGGAGCACAAAACCAGTCTTAAGTCGCTGGGGTATATTTGTAGCAATAGCCAAAAATACATTGTATGGGTCAAAATTATTGATTTTTCTTTTATGCCAAAAATCATTAGGGTATTAAGTAAAGATCATGTTCCATAAAGGTATTTTGTAAATTTTCTACTGTAAATATATCAAAACTTAATTTTTGATTAGTAATATGCATGGCTAAGAACTTCATTTGGACAACTTTAAAGGTGATTTTCTCAATATTTAGATTTTTTTTGCACCCTCAGATTCCAGATTTTCAAATAGTTGTATCTCAACCAAATATTGTCCTATCCTAACAAACCACACATCAATGGAAAGCTTATTTATTTTTTTAAAATGTACCCTTATGACTGGTTTTGTGGTCCAGGGTCACATTTTATTTAACTATATTTTACATTAGATACATTTAACCGATTAAACAGTAAAGTTGCGTTTCTTCAGAATCCAGCTCCGCTCTATGATTTGGCCATGTTGGCTCTGGATTCAGAGGAGAGTGGATGGACGGAGGAGGACGGTCCAAAAGAAGGACTGGCCCAGTATATCGTGGATTTTCTGAAGCAGAAAGCAGTAATGCTGGAAGAGTACTTTTCTCTGGAAATAGATGAAGTGAGTGACACATACTAAACTTACATCAGTATAACTGATTTACAATAAGCTCAAAATGCTTTTTATTTGACCTCAGGTTGTTCCTAGATATAAATGCTAAAATCCTCTTTATATAACCATGGTTAAACAAATCACTTGGACTATTGTTTTTACAAAACAGAAGCATTTCCTTACAGGAAGGGAACCTGACTGGTCTGCCAATGCTGCTTGATAATTACACTCCTGCTATGGAGGGACTTCCCATGTTCATTCTGCGTTTAGCCACAGAGGTCAGCATTTCACTGAATTGTAGTTTATTGGCTTTTGTATATAGTGGGCATGAGTTCAAACAAAATCCAGATGCAACTAAATGACTGATGGATGATGCAGGTGAACTGGGATCGAGAGAAGGAGTGTTTTCATGACTTCGGCATAGAATGCAGTCACTTCTATTCCATAAGGAAACAATACACACTGGAGCCGGATGCAGAAGAGCCACAGGTAGTTCAAATGCTACACACAAAAATCAGACAATTTTGGGTAGCAAATATATATTGCACAGACTGCAGAAAAATATAACCGTATACTTCTCTGAACATGATGCATTCAGCTGTTTTGTGGTTTGTCAATGATCTTTGATTAGTAGGAAAATCAACTGAAACCCAAGAGTTTTTAATGTGTGAATTATTTGTAGGATGCAGAGATGAGCTGGCAGTGGAAGGTGGAGCATGCACTTTTTAAAGCACTCCGCACTCTCTTCAGTCCTCCAAAACACTTCAGTGAAGACGGCAGCGTTCTGCAGATAGCCAGCCTGCCTGAACTCTACAAAGTGTTTGAAAGATGCTAAGTTTTAGTTCTGTTGTGTAATCGTTTTAATGTTGTGTTATCAGAAACGGCAGCTTTTCTACGTGTTTTCTTGGTTAGCTGACCAACTGAAAATGACTGACAGAGATAATCAGCCTGTCACATTATTTCTGGTGTCCAGCTAACATTAAACCAAGAATGTATAGATATTTGTACTGCAAATGAATAAAAAAAGACCGTATTTTGAAATAATAAACATAAGTTTTCATTACTGTCTTCTGATGGAACTGACTTTAATACCATAATGCACTTACACATATGCATCTGGCAGATGCTAACTGGATAATTCCAAAAGCGTGATTTAGATGCCAAATAAAACACATCAAGTACATCACGTCAAAATAACATTTTAAAGTGAAGTGTCATTTTGCACCACTAACGGCACCAAAAAAAAGAGAAAAGTTCTGCAGTGAATGGGTGCTGTTAGAATAAGAGTTAGAAGATTTGATGAAAACATCAAGTAATCCATACAACTCTAGTCCATCAATCGATGTTGGAAATGCGGTGAGAATCCTGTGTGAATAAGTGATGTAATGCTACATTTCTCCAAATCTGAACAAATGAAACAAACTCATCTACATCTTGAATGGCCTGAGGAAATGTTCATTTTTAGGAGAGCTATTCCTTTAATGTTAAATATCATGTCATGTGTAAATGCAACATAATACTGTTTTATCATTGCAGAATGTTCTTTTATTTCAATTAATTGTAGTATGCACTAAAGGCTGTTTTTATATGCATGTGGCCATTGGTTTAGCCAGTGCTGTTATGTTGGGCTGTATCACACAGTTTGCAATTCTGGGTAACACTTTATTTGATAGTTCCCTTTGCAACTACATGTCAACTAGCAGTCATTAGAGTATTAGTAGACTTTCTGCTCAATATCTTCTTACACTTTATTTTGATGGGTCCACAACATACTATGAGAAACTTTGCAAGTATATTTGGACTTATTCTACTAAACCTAACCTACTCCCAGTCTACTCAGAGTTAGTAGACGTGTAGTTGCAAGTTAATGAGAATTAGTTGACTTGTAGTGGCAAAGTTACTTACAGTTAGCAGAATGTCTAAAGTGGACTATCAAAATAAAGTGTAACCAAATTCTGTGGTGTAGAAATTACGCTTCACCTAAAAAAAGGCCAAAAATATTTACTGAGAGAGGTCAGTTTGTAAATCGTGTAGTTTATTTACAGTATACTTTGCAGCTGCTTTAGTCACAATCACTGTGGCATGAAGTGTCAAGACAATTGGTTTCTAGTGTGATTAACATGTCGCACCAAACCTGAATACAACAGTGCTGTGAAAGGCATCAAGTGGCATTTGGGACTTGAAATCTCAAAGTCACAGTAGAAACATCGGTCTCTTACTGCGAGTTAAAATCACAATTTAGTGTAAAATTGATGTAGTCCATTGTGACGAAGCACTTCAAAAAAACAAAAACTAAAAAATACTAACAAAATTCAATGTGCCCTGCAAACAATCACAATTCAGGAATCACCCGCCCATTCATACTGCATTCATTTACACATTTATTTTCAAGAAATATTTTAAATATTGGAAAAACTAAACAAAAACACTTAAATTGAAACCATAGCAGACATGATTGATTCTCTATACTGTTCAACTCATGACCATACCCTTTATTTAAACACATTAATGTTTTTTGTACCGGTAGAAATATATGCTTTTCCTGTATAGTGTTATAATGCATATAACCCTCGTCCTCCGTGAAGGCACATTGCTGTGTAAGCATTTACATGGACGTCGAGGGCCCTGCAGTCATGTCGATTTATAGTTTAAAAAGCGCTTTTATACTCGTGCAACTTACAAAAGAGGAGGGGGGAAAAGCACCCAGTCCGAGCTACCGTGATGTACCAAGCTTTTAAAAACAACAAAACCAACAGAAGTACAATATTCTCAGGTTCAGAGGCTTCCTCCCTCACAGCGTTGCCCTAGTAGGGTGTAAATCTGTATTTTACCACGAGAGGCAAGGAAACAAGTTAAAGGGCCAGCGGATTTGTTTTGGTGTCGGAGAGTCTCTCTTCACTGCTGGGACAGGAGAGCGTTTCTGTTTGCTTTCATCTTCTCCAGCCGCTTTATGAGATGGTTATTGGTCATTTCCATTTCTTCGATCTTGTCCAGGGCTGTACGCAGCTGCGAAAGGAAAACAGATGTGTGAGGAGGATTCTTGACTGTGACTGCTAATATGAAAAGGGTCTGATCTTCTCTATGCTTCGATCATGTACTACTTTCTCAAATTAAGATATTTTCAGTTTCCGTGACTCCTAGGCCCAGAAACCAGAGATTTAAAATGTCAGGTTGTGATTATGGGGACAATGAATGTGTGAAATGCTTGTAGGTCAGTATCAGAGATGTTTGAATGGCAGATTTTCTCAAGCGTTGGGTTCATACCTCCCTCTGAAGTTTTCTTTTCTCTGCTTTCAGTTCATCTTCTATCTTTTCTGCATTATCTGCTGAAGATTTATATCTGGACACCTGTCCTTCAAGTCTGTTTACCTGCAAGACATACACAAAAAAAAAAGTTATGCAAAGTGTCAATTATTTTTAGCATTAACCATGATTTATATATAAAAAAAAAAGGAATTAAAAAGTGGCAATATTTAATTTTTAAATATTTTACTATCACAATAATTGTAATTATTAGCAATTCATATTTTAAATGAATAAATAATTATTTAACATTTTACATATATAAAATTTTACTTTTATTTTAAATTTAATAAAATTTGTTGCCAGTAATAAAAAAAAAAGGAAATTGCACAAAAAACTAATGTACAGAACACACAAAAATGCATTAAACTGATCAAAAGTGACAATATTATGTTGTTGCAAAAAATGACATTTCAAATAAACCTTTTTTAAAACTTTCTATTCATCAACCAATCCTTAAAACAATGCATCAGTTTCCATTTGAATAGAAAAATATAAATATTTTATTTTCAATTGTGTTTTACTGTATTTTTGATCTAATAAATGCAGCCTCGGTGATCAAACAGACTTTTCTTTTCAAACTAAAAAAGTAAAAAAAAACATGGACATGAAAAAAAATGTCAGTTTTGAAACCGTCACAAACCTAAATGATCTTATTTGTCCTAAATAGGCTTAATTTTCTGTGCCAATATATAAATAAATAATACTTCTGTTACATTTCATACTATTTTTGTATACTATTGTTATATAGGTTATACTTACTATTGTAATAACTTTATTTAGTTCTAATTATAAACTCACATTTTGTTCCATCGTAGCCATTTCCTGTTCAGCCTTTGAGAGCTTGAATTTGTATTCGCTTATCTGTCTGTTGACGTCCCCTACAGAAAACACAGTATTAAAGCATGGTACATGTAAAGGATGTTAATGCAAACATGAGTGTGTGGTACAGCATGCGTCACAGATCGTACTCTGCATCTCGATGAAATGCAGGTCAGTGCCGTTCTCCATTCGCTCTCCTTCTGTGTAGACACTGTCGATCTTTGAGTGCTTTTGTCTTTCTTCCTCCAGCTGCATCTTCAGTTTTCTGATCTAAAAGAGCGTTAGATGTGTTACTTCAATTCAACAATGCCAATAACATTTTAATTCACTTCATGTACAATCATACCTGGGACAAAAGTTCATCCTTTTCATCTGCAAGCTTTCGTAGTCTTACATCTGGGGTATGAACACAGAAGACAAGTATTATGCCATTGTTTCATACTAATATATATAAGCTTGACAGTGTATGTGGAGACTCACCCAAAGGTCCGTCTCCTGCTGACTCCAGCACCTGCGCTGCCTCTTGTGTGACCACGGTGATGCCTGAGGTAGGGGACTCGTGGCTGACGTCTCCGTTGGGCGTATCCTCTGGTATGATGACCAGCCCGTGTTTCTGTCAGAGCAGGAAGGTCACAATATATTAAAATATAAAAGTTTTTTTTTTTTGTGGACACTGGCCACATACACACTGCAGTGCAGTTGTCACTTCTCTTCGGGACACACAATGTTTGAGTGACAAACTCATGAAAAAAATTCACGAAACACTAACACAGATGAGCTTCCTTCTTGAGGACAGAATCTAAAACAGAACTGCATGTCTCCTTTATAGAGAAGGCCACCCCATAATGTACTGTGACAGGCTCAATGAAGGGGGGAAAAAAAAAAGATCCAAGATGGCAAATAACACAAGAATATAGTCAATAATAAATCAGCTCAGATTGATTAAAACTATTGTAATGTCACGCTCAAAGTTCGCAATGTTTTCATGGCCAGTGAAATGCAGAGAAAACAAATGTAGGCAGCAAGCCAAAAACTTTCCATTGAAACGGTCTGTGACACTGGCCACATACACACTGCAGTGCAGTTGTCACTTCTCTTCTGGACACACAATGTTTGAGTGACAAACTCATGAAAAAAATTCACGAAACACTAACACAGTTGAGCTTCCTTCTTGAGGACAGAATCTAAAACAGAACTGCATGTCTCCTTTATAGAGAAGGCCACCCCATAATGTACTGTGACAGGCTCAATGAGGGGGAAAAAAAAAAAGATCCAAGATGGCAAATAACACAAGAATATAGTCAATAATAAATCAGCTCAGATTGATTAAAACTATTGTAATGTCACGCTCAAAGTTCGCAGTTTTTTTTTTTTTAAGTCAACATGAAATCAAAATGGTCCCATTTACTTACTAAATGCATGTTCCTGGTCTTACTGTCCACATTTCTTTGTAACTTATCCTAAAAATATAACATGCTCCGCCTCTGAAATGACTTTCCCTTATCGACTCTTTCCCTCCAATCACTTGTCCCATCCAGGTAAACTACTGTTCAAAGGTTATGGTCATTAAGATTTTTTATGCTATTATGCTCACCAAGGCTGCATTAGTTATTCAAAAATACTGAAAAAAACTGTAATAGTGAAATATTATTATAACTTTCTATATGAATCTGTCATTTATCCCTGTGATGGCAAAGAGTTTTCAGCAGCCATTAATCCAGTCTTCAGTGTCGCACGATCCTTCAGAAATATTACTGATCCCAAACTTTTGAACAGTAGTATATGTAATGCCACCTTTTTACAGTCCAATTAATTCTTAATAGATAAAATAAAGTCCCTAAATAGGTTGTTTGCAGCATTTCATGTTGCCTTTAATACTGAATAATACATTAACCCTTGTCTGTTCATGTACAGTTCCTTCACAGTCTCTCAATGATATCAGGATTTTCAAAGCAGGATCTCCAACTTCCAAATGTGAACTGGACAAACACTGAAATCCTTTGCACAGCTGATTAAATATGTGTGTCTGCATCCTCGTCCATCTTCTCTATTAACAGCAGTTAGAAGTGAGGCAGAAGACTTCCATGTGACTTCAGCTCTTTAGAGCAAGTACGTCTTCAGGCAACACAACTGTGGGCTAAACGTGATTGTAAAGAGCTAATGTAGTAAGTGAAAGACTCATGCAAGGCTCATGCTCTCAGACTAGGAGTGCTCAGAGCCTGGTGTGTTAGTGGAGAATGAGGGAAGGCATGCGTTGAGCTCAGGACCCTCTACCTTCAACTCTTTAAGACCCTGCATGTATCGGCCCTCTACATCCTGAATCTGGTCCTTTAGATCATAGATGTCCTGTTGAGATCATGGGAAAGGTTTGGCATTCACTGAAGGTCAGAGCGGTGACCTCTAATTGTACATTCATACAAACACAAAAAGGAGAGAGCTTCCCGAAGGCATTCAAACATAAAGAGGAAAGAAATTAAAGCATTAACAGACACAAATAAAACTGAAATGAACAAGTGGATTCTCTGAGATCGGATGCATTCAGTAGGAAAGTATGATGCTCTATGCTCAGCCAAAATATGCTCAAAGGCAGGTAGATTCATCTTCTTTCATGAAATACCTCAGCAATCTGTATTACAGTTTGTGCAATGCAAATAAACAACATAATTACCCTTAACTCGCTGATAGAAGCCTCTGCATCCATAACGATGCTTCCAGCATCTCCGCTGCCCCTTCTAGAACTGCTGCCTCCCAGAGATGCCAGGGCAGCTGCAGAGAGCGCCGGGGTGGTACATCGAGAGGATGGCTGGAGGAAACGAGAGCACAAAACACCCATCAACAATGAATCAAAACATTATTCAACAACTGTAACATCTGTTGGTTAAATTTATTTGCAAAAATTCGGTAGGATGCTTGCAGTAGGGGTGTGCAATATATCATCTATGACAATATCGTAATCGTATATTGCAAAAAACAAAAACACACCCAGAGACTGCATGCATGATGTAGGTTAGACTACTGCGCTAGCACATATATATCAAAATAAGGGGGCAAATATGCCCCAGTATGACTTTTGTCTTTTATATCATCTGATTAAGTTACGAATACACAAAGAGTACAGTTTTTCTCCAAATATCAGTATGATTGCAAATGTGACATCGGTTTTAAAAAACAGTCCAATACACAAGTTAATATGAATCGACTTGCCTTTAAGACACAAGTTCCTGTTTTTGTTCTATTTCTTCAATGCAAATAGTTTCTAACAAAGCCACAGCAGAATTGTTTTGCGTCTCTGAGCAACACAGGACAGTGTTTTGTTACTGAATCAATCAGCTGTTTGAACAAATCAGTTGACTAAATGACTCAATGACTCACTCATGCAGTGATCTGCCACCACCTACTGGCGATTTTAGGTTTATATTAAAAATATATTGCCCTTTATACCCAAAATTATTTCAAATATCAGTATTCAACTTTTTTTTTTAGTTTATGCATTTGTAATTGCAGGTTAACAGCATTCATGTCCTGCATTATACAGTCTGTGTAAATGCATCTAAATGCCACTTCTGCACTGCAAACTAATTTTGTTAATACTGATTTCATTTGATTGGTAACAGCCCAATAGTGTCTTACTATTTAAATTTATTGATTAAATTTAAGAATCTGCCACAAAGATGATGCATACTTTTAGTTAGGTTAGAAAAATTGGCCTTATAATGGTGAAAATGCCCATAAAAGGTAAAAATCAATTTAACCTTATTGTAAAAGTTAATTTCTGTTACTCCTACAAACCCCTGCATCAAATATGAAGAATATCAAAAGCTTTGGGAATCAGCTGTCCACGGCAGTGCTAAACTTGTCAAAATACCAGCACAATAACATGCTCAGCAAAATATTGTCTAATGATCGTTATTTCAAAAATGATTGATTTTTTTTTGCCCACAACACAACGGCGCTGTATGTTGGCCCACAAGGCTATTGGCGCAGACGAAATATCAGTTTTCGTCATTATTCCACACCCATAGTTTGCACATGAAACTTGCTTATTTCATTTATTCCTGTGACGCAAAACTGAATTTTCAGCAGCCTTTACTCCAGTCTTCAGAGTCACATTGTCCTTCAGAGATCATAATATGCTGATCAAGAAACATTTCTAATCATTATTAATGATGAAAACAGTTGTGCTGTTTAATATTTTTGTGGAAACTGTGATATACATTTTTAGGATTCTTTTGAAAAAAAAAAATACATGTAAAAAATAATAATAATAACATTTGGATATTTGTAATAGATTATTAACCTTATTTAACAGTTTCTATTCATTTAATTAGTCTTTACTGAATACAATTAATTTCTTTAAAAAAAATCTTACTGTCCTCAAACTTTTAGTGGTGTATTTAAAAATAACAAAAATAACAATTCACTTAAACCTGCTCTAGATATCCAGACATTTTACTTAAGCACTGAATGAAAAAAACTGACCAAATACAGACTAACTTTCCCCTAATGAGAAGAGAAACATAAACTTGGGTCTTAATTATGTGTCAAATATCTCACAACACAGGGAAGTGGAAAATGGTCTCTCTTCCTCTTACCCGGCTGTAGGGGTCTGTAAACTGCTTGTCACATTTCTCATCAAGCTGAAAAAGAAGAAAACACCATTAATCTCATTGGTTACATTTAGAAAAATACACGTCGCCATTTGAATGGCCTGGGTTTTGCCTTCATCCTAAAGTAAGACAAAGAAAAAGGTTAGTATGATGCTACTTCTTGCAGCCTGTTTTAGGCACACATCATGCCACGTAACTCATACAATTTAACCAGAAACCATCAGAGTCAGTGCTCCAGCCAGACTTCACCAAAACTCCCCGTTTTAAAACCAAACGTTGACCAACCAAAAGAGACACACAACAGTTAGATTCATTTATTCAAGAATAATACATTTACCTTCCTAAAAGCAGTCATTAAATAAAAGAGTCCAGTAGTCATTTTAATGCAATTTTTACACAGTATCAAGCCATGCAGAGTAAACCAGCTTTAATAACTGAACTATCCCTTTAAGTAAGCATCCAGTGCTCTTTAGTCAACTTGTCACATGGGTTAATATTTCATGCATGTCTTGACTTACACTGTCCAGGTCTGGGATGCTCAGATCATCAAGATCAGAGACAATACTGCCTCTGCGATTAGAGCGGCTGAAATAATCAGCAGCCGTCTCAGAGATATCAGAGAAATCAGACAACTACACACAGACAGACGAGAACATGGGAAAGCGAAAGAAAATAAGAAGTTGAAGTGGAAAAGTTTTTATGATATATTACTGTTTTAATGACAACAGAATATGCGGTTGCATTGTCTGAACACTGGATATGCGGTCACAGTTTCTATTCTGGCTCACCACACTATCCCTTCTCCCACGTCGACCTCGAGATACAGTGCTGCCAGAATCGTCATCAGAGGATGACTGAAAGGTTTAAAAGAGGATGATTCAAAAGAAGAAATGCAAATTGCACAGGGAAGAAAACCAAAAACCATCTGTCATAACTGTTAATCAGAACATGCAACCATTTCAATGAAGTCACTCTTTTAATAGCACTCCATTTGTATTAGTGACAAGTCATCAAACAATGTCATTGCTACTTAAGATGTTTAGACAAATGCACCACATGCAAAGACATTGGCGGAATTCCTGCCCCATCTTCAGAGACCAACCTATCAAAATACTAACAATGCATCCGATTTTTTATACTTTCAGTTTATGCACTGAGTTGAATGACAAATTATAAGTTTTAACACATTTCTGGACATACTACACCGACAATGTTGGCTTAAAATTTTTGGCTCAGATGTTGATGACCTATGACAAGCCAAGTTGCTTAATGGCACAAGTCCCCCAAAAAACAAAAACAAAAGCCACCTCCATGTCTCTATGATATAATGGTACTCTATATACACAATCATTCAAAAGTTTGGGGTCTGTAAGATTTTTTTTTTTTTTTTTTTATTAATACTTTTATTCAGCAAGGATGCATTAAAGTGATCAAAAGTGACAGTAAAGAAATTTTTAATGTTACAAAATATTTCTTTCAAATAAACGCTGTTCAAACTTTCTATTAAATCAAAGAATTCCAAAATAAAAACATGATTTCCACAAAAAAAGATTTTGTGGAAGTTTTCAATGGCGCTTCTTACTCAGCAAATCAGCATATTAGAATGATTTCTGAAAACTAATGATGCTGAAAAATCAGCTTTGCCATCACAGGAATAAATTACATAATCTATATTTCTTCCTGTTGGCAGCTGTGCTAAATTATTTTGATACGGATTTAATGGTAACAAATTTGTGATTGATTAATGTATTTAGGTCTCTCCACAACTCTCCTTTCCTTTTTTTTTTTTTTACGTTTTTTTCCTCGCCTTCCACCTCCTCCCCTCCTCTTTCTTTTCGAGGTAAATGCCTGATCAGGAATAAATTACACAAATATATTCAAATATAAAAGTTGCTTTATTTTTGATTAATTAATTGCAGCCTTGACCAGCATAGAAGCCTCAAAAGCATTAAAAACATCTTACCAACCACAAACTTTTGAATAGTAGGGTATAGCGTTGTCTCTTCTTCATGGTCTATGAAGTTTTTTTCATAAACAGTAAGTTCAGTCACTTCTGCACACCTCCCCTTGACATGCCAAAAATTTGAGGTATCATTAATGTTCGTAACACAATCAATGCATGAGTTACAAACTTAAGTTCAATACGTGGAGTTAGACTAATGCAAACATCTACTTTCAAAAGGTGAATTATCCGAGTGTATAATAGTGCTGGGTGGTATGACCAAAAATTTATATCACGGTATTTTTCAAAATTATACCGTTTTCACGGTACATGACGGTATTTTTTTTTTTTCATGCATGACCGGGTGTTAACCATATTTTCTACTGATTGAGAGAGGAAATACTGCAGTATATTGACTTAGAATGCCCTATTTTACTGTCATGATGAGTGAATATTGTCAAAAAATACCACACTAAATAGTGACTAAACACAACCCCTTTTAATACATGTTAACCAGGAGTCACTCTCACTTATAATATAATTCCAAACAATCATTAAGCGACAGGTGCTTGGAAACGCTGTTTTGTACTCATTTATTGACGAGTCTGCTGCGGTGCTGCCAACTGAATGCGCTGCTTCTCTGCCACTCACTGCAGGGACAGTTCACGGGACAGCAATGGCGAAATCTTCCAACTGAACCATAGCTAAGGTTTATCCAAAAAAGTCGCTAGGTTTGTCAGTATGAATATTCTGTGGAAAAAAGCCGCTAAAAGGGTCTGACAGTTGCTAAATCTAGTGCTAAAGTCGCACTCGTATGTGTGAGATGCAGGAGCTGATGGCAGGGGGCTGTGGATATTTGTGGCGGTCAATGTGGATATTGTGGATGAGTTCTTCTGTGCCATCACGTTCTATTAGTTCTACAGCTTCAGTTTAGGAACTGTCACGCTTAGTAACACATACAGCTGTTTCCTCACCACAGTGCAACAGTGAAAAGTGACCCCTTTCAAACAGTGTCGCGTTCCAAACGTTGTTTAAGCGACATATTGCGGTATTTTAAAAATTCATATCATAACAAAAATAAACACCGGTATTCGGTATGAACCGGTATACCGCCCAGCACTAGTGTATAATATAGATAAGCACACACTGGCGTTTCAGAATGAACACATGCATGAGCAGCTGCTGCAGCTCTGGACTCCATGCGATGCTCACCACAGGGCTACTGCGGGTGGAACTGGCACCAGAAGAATACCAGCTGCATTCAGAGGGCTGCGGGGGGAATAACACTGACCACTGAGCCAACGCTGCTCCAGGGATATGATAAGATTATTGTTTTAGTATGTATGCTATGGCATCACTTACAGCTCTGGAACTATATGAACCATACAGACCGTCATCACATATGGAGGCCTAAGAACACAGATCTCACATTTTTTAAATGAGCAGATGACAAAGAGGCTTATAAAACAGAGTGGGGATTAATCACATGGCAGATGTGCTGAAAATCTGACTGACCACACTATAGCTGCGTGTCAGACCTGTAGAACTGCTGCTGGACGGAGCCTGTGAAGGTCAAACAACAAGCAACTGCTGTCAGATATCTCCACAGAGTCAAACCGACGATTCCAGACTAGCTTTTCAAACTGAAGGAACAACAAATACTGAAATAAAACCTTGACTAAAACTAACTTCATACATAACAGAATTAGCAAGGAAGAACTTTCCAGGAGGACTTAAAGACTTTTCCTCAAAGATTTGCAGTGTGAGAATATTAAACATGCAGAAAGGAAGGAGACAAACCCGTGGTGTATAGGTAGAGACAGTAGAGGGAGAAGGTTTGGAGTTCTTTAAGCTGGTGTAGTTTCTTTGGTCATGATACAATCCAGTCTAAGGAAATGGTGTAAAGCAATGGGAAATGAACACATATCCGATATGAATCATAGTCACAAATCTGAAATAACATGCTCTAAACCAGGAAGAACATGTTCATGATGATGCATCAAGAATGAAGCAGCTTTTGAGTTCAGGATATTGATCAGTACTGACCAGAAGGTCCTTTTTGGAACTACTGCCAACAGGTTTTTTGTGAAGATCATTATATACAGAACTCTGGAAGAGAAGATCACAAATGTGTAAAGCTTTCTCTTACTAATGGTAATAACTTACCAATTTTGGAACCAGAAAGGCTGCATGACTTGAGCGGAAAATCTAATCGCAATTTTTGGGATAGAAATTGTGATTTAAAATGTAATTATTTGTTGGGCTGTTTAATTATTATTATTACTAAAGGTAAAAATAAGAAATATTCATTTTCCCTGAAAATTTTCCCTATAAAAAATTAAATAATTATTAGATTTTACAAATGTAAAACGGCAATACTAATATTTTTGGCTGTCCTATTTTCTTCATTTTCAAACATTAAACCACAGAGATTGCATTTTATTTTGATGGAAAGCCACAGAGGATTCCATACAGTTTCTCTTTTGTTGAACAGAGACTGTTTATAGGCACTTCTCATTAACAGTTTTGGTTAAACGTTTTGGGAATTTTTCGCTCCCAAATGCACGTTATAAGTGACCCAAACTTACAACATTCATGTAGTTTGTGAGTTCGTGTATAGGAGCATTTGCTGTGACCTGAGTTGCTCTGAGACACTGAAAACACTGGAATATGAGCTGCCTGTGTGTAAAGGAACACAGTGCAGTGCTTTACTCTGAAACATGCAGATCATATATTTAATTAAATCAAAGCCGATTTGATTATCGCACTAAGCCACATCACAAGTTTTATTTTGCTTAATTGTGTAGCCCAAGAATCTAGTCACAGATATATAAAGCTATGCTTTCATAGTACAATGCTGGAAAGAACAAAGATCCCAGAGCTGGCTGTCTGCACTTATAAAATGTCAAACTGGAACAGTATAAAATACTTAAATGCAGAACTTCTGACACTCAAAGGAGAATAAACTGTAAACTGTCACAGATACATACAGTGGAGTGGGAGTTCTTCAAAGAGGAACTACCGGAGATACCAGACTGCAGAGAAAACAGCACAACCATCACAATCTATGCAGGATATACTGTATAACATGAAGTAATCCATGCCGTAGACATGCCATGTGCGCTAATAAGGGAGTGCTACGTCAGATCATACCAAAGACCTTTTTATGTTAGTGCACTCAGTCACTGAGTCAGTGCGGTTACGCTTCATTTATAACCACTCAACAGTGCTAGTCATCAATAGCACAAAGCCTGCCTGTAATGTTCATGCACATCAACCTTGAAGTAACCTACATGAAAATCCAATGTTGCTTTCAGAATATTATTCCTTAGCTGTACTGTCATTGCCTTTTCCAGGTCTGAATTTCATAAATAATCTCATTAAAATTTTTAAAATTTTCCATGACCATGGGAATCATGTATGTCTTTAGAAATCAGCTTTAGAATTAGATAATTTCAATATTATATTAGCTAAAGTACGTGCTACACAGACAAACTTTCTAGCCAATCAAATAGAGCAAACAATGTTAGTATAATACAGCAGCCTAATTTAGAGAGTCATGACAGTCACACAAGAGAAAACAATGTTGCCAAAATACAAACACTACAACGTTACATGGAAAACACACAAACGCACACACACACACACACACAGTAACATACCACCAAGTCTCTTCTCCGGGAAGAACTAGCCCGACTGGAGCGATCAGAACTGCTCAAGTCTCGTAAAGATGCTGAACTTGACTTTAAAAGCAGACATCCAATAGGAAAACATAAATTTTTCATATTCCAATAGCATGTAAAATGCACTTTTCATGCTATTGGAAATCTACCTTTCTAAACAAGCTTTTAAAACTTTCCAGTTTGTGATTACTGGATCAATAAAAATATGCTGATTTGATTGCTGGGGCATATTTCTATTTGCATGTTACGTACCAATATTTCAAATGAAACAATTATCATAAATAATGTTCAAATGTCACAAAAAAGACCTATTTCACATTAGCTTGCAGGCAAGTGTTACTCTACACAACTGAATAAAGTCTGAATGCACTTTCATAAAGTTCAGGATGACACACCCTGTAACTTCCGACACTTCGGACCGACGCTGTATCATCATTTAATCCCTGTTGATGAGAAATTAGGAGAAAAAAGAAATGACAATAAAAAAAAGAGGAAAAAGGACGAGACACAGACAGCAACATCAGGAGATACAGACCCGTCGACTGTGGCTACTGGAATGATGACCATGACGGGCCTTTTCTGCATCAGCCTGAGATGAACAGAATGAAGAAGATAGAATTTAAGCTGCATGTTTTAGGCTGTGCTAGTGTTAGTCTTCACCGGTAGTCCTAAACAAACTCTAAACATACTTAACTTGCTGATAGTCTGCCAGGATAAGACCTGTTCAAATGTCAAGGCAAGCATACAAGCTTACTAGCAGAGCAACATGACAACAGGGGCTGGGCAACATAGCTTAAAAAAAAAAAAAAAAGTACACTTTTGACAAAATTCTAAATGTATCTTATAGTGCTGTCAAATGATCAATTGCGATTAATCGAATCAATATTACAAGTTTTTGTTTACATAATATATGTATGTGTACGGTGTATATTTATTATGTATATATAAATACACACATGCATGTATATATTTCAGAAAAATATGCTGTTTATATATTAAATATATTTATTTATAATATACATTATATGAAAAGACATGTAAATACATGTAAATTTTTTCAAAATATATACTGTATGTGTGTGTATTTATATATACATAATAAAGAGACACAGAACACAAATATATTATGCAAACAAATACTTTTATTTTGTATGCGATTAATCGTTTGACAGAACTAGTATCTTTTAAAAATATTGCTTTTACTGATGCAAGTAGTTAAACAGTAAATATCTAGCTGAAAATAAATCAGTGCATATTCTGCACAATGTTATTCACTGAATGAACAATACAATTTATTTACTTCTATTTAATTAAATGTAATTTAAAAATACAATATAAAATAAACAGTTTAAAATACAATAAACACTTAAATACATTAAATATGTAGTGCATGGTTTTAAAAAATAATTAATGAATTTTGCTATAAAACATCTTTAATAAATTTTTTAAATGCATTAAAATCAGTGTGATATTCACATAATTTAGTATTGGCAGCAAAATCACTGCAAAGACATCAGAAACATATCACCCAGCCCATAAAGAAAAGGCCACATAGAGATACTCGTTTTAGATTGACAAAATTAAAATGCTGAGACCAATTTTATGGGGTTACCACTGTAACATATACAAACACACAAACACTAAAGCAAATAGATCATGTGCAAAAAAACTCTCCAGAAAAAGTGAATCCAATGCTGTCCTAACAGAATACTATTTTTAAAGACAACAACAGTACCACAAGGGTTCCTTTATAAACCTAAAAGAGCAAAAGTATTATTAAAAACATGCTTGAAAGCCACATACAAAAAACTGAGTGTATGAGAATACAGCTAGCACACTCCCATCTGAAAGCTCTTTATTAGTAAAAAGGCGAAAGTACATGCATGTCTAAACTGGCCTAATCTTTCTCATACCATCCATTGGTGGATTTGCCCCCATTTCCTGCTAGAGGAGGAGTGCTGATGGTAAGACAGCTGTGAGAGAGAGACAGCCACAAGACAAACACAAAGACTTCTATTGCAATTCAACATGACAGTGGATTGTTTGGTACTTTTTTGGTGAATGTCTTTCAGTGAAAAACAAAAACAAAAATACTGATGAACAAACCCATTAACACGCAATTACTCATACTGAAAGTATGTACTTCAGTATGTAAACATATTCTTCAAACCAGTGTAGAACAACATCTGAAAATGCACAAGTACAGAAAACACCCGACAGATACAGCTGACATCGATAACTGAATCATTCACATGTGGCTTCAACCATTGAAAACATACTGTATTGTCAAAGGCCTGTTTCCACTTATGAGCTTAGTTAGTCAGCTAGCTAAATCTGGGTTGTGAATCTGGAACTACTTGTAAAAGCATTCGTACTTCATCCTTGCAACAAAAATGCTTGAAACAGACAAGCACATTATGCAAAAGGCCACTCTAAAACAATCATTCTGCTTTACTGCAACAAAAGAGGGGATGGTCTGTACAAGATCAGGCATATTCTGAAGGAAATCCAGAGGCTCTGTTCCGAAACCTAGTTAGATTCCTTGCCATTTAATGCCACGTAGACAGCATCCTAACTGAAATCAAATCTCATTCATGGATTTGGAACTAAATATGCAGCAATCCATGTGTCATACTTAGGGCTGGACAATATGAGCAAAATTTATATCACGATATATTTCTTAATTTTGGTCGATACGATATAATTCCAATATTGATATGAACACTATTCAAATAAGCCTCGTAAAAACTGCCAAGAACTCCCACAACAGATGTCTGTGCATACAAACTTATGAAAAATGAATTTGCCTCATATAAAACCATATAATATTTTAGAAAAAAAAACAGCACAAATAAATGATTGTTCACCTTTTATTTGTATTTAGCCTTCATACAAACAAGAAACGTGAAATCACTGTCAAAAGCAAATCAGAATATTAGAATGATTTCTGAAGGATCATGTGACTGGAGTAATGATGCTGAAAATTCAGCTTTGATCACAGGAATAAATTACATTTTAAAATATATTCAAATAGAAAGCAGTTATTTTAAATAGTACAAATATTAATTTTTTTTACTGTTTTTGCTGTACTTTGGATCAAATAAATGCAGGCTTGGTGAGCAGAAGAGAATTCTTAAAAAAATAAAAATAAAAATAAAAAATAAAAAAATCCTCTTACTGTTCAAAAACTTTTGACTGGTAGTGTAGGCTGATTATTCTTATAGATTGAAACAAATGTTCTTTAGCCAGTATAAAGAGTATGAAAAGTGCTGCAGAAAAAAATAACAAATAAATAAATAGGGCCTTTCGGACCGCTTTAGTTCCAGAACTAAATGTACAGTACTAAAGTACTGGGACGATTTTGCGTGAACTATTTCCCAGTACCATTTAAAGGGTTGCATTCGCACCGACAGTGTGTACTAAGAAGTGACGTAAGCTGGTTGACAGCGACGCCATTTGTGCGCGACGTTCAACAATGGAAACAAAGAAGAACAACGTTAACAACAGGAGGATGGAGGATGCTGTGATCGGAGCTGTTTTTTTGTTGTGTCTCGCGGGTTTCACAATAATGGACATGGAAAGTCGACGTATACGTAAAGCGATTGAAAGAACGGAAAGGAGGACTAAGAATCTCCAACGACAACTACCAGTGCTACATTTGCTACAAGTGCCTGCACTTCAGCGTCCGTCCATCTATCGCTGTTCCCCATACTTGCGAAATAAGTTGACACAATGTTTACAGTATGTTTACAC